ATCCGGTCACATGGGCAGCAAGCCACTCCCATCTGATCACATGGGTGGCAAGCCACTCCCACAAAGGAGGCCACACCCACAGAGTAGGTTCGAACAATTTTTGAAACCCACCACTGCGCCCCAGGTGATCTTGTGGGCAGAACAATACAATTTCTTGGTGTCAGTACAGAAGTCATTCTTCCCGAGGTGCTTTTGGGATTTCCCGACTTTATCTAGAGTCCAGGGGTTTGGGCAATTTAATCTGATGGGATGCTTCCATTTATGGCTCTAACCAGCCAAGAACAGACCTTTGATCTGCATTGATCGTGGGCTACTTAGTAATGGCTTAGTGATGTGTGAACTTAATCATTTTATTTGATAAACTATCATTTATAGTCCAAGGTATTGGGCAAACCCAGACACTAAATAAGCCAAACAGATGACTGTAAACCATCTTTTCAGCTGTGAGAGTCACTTCCATTACCATGAGAACCATACTGAGGGACATATAAAGCAATATCACTTAGCCCAGTGTTTCTCAACCTTGGCGACTTTAAATCCTGCGGACGTCAACTCCCAGAATCCCCCAGCCAGCTCTTGATAATTAATGATGTTGATTATATAAAACTTGAAATTTGAAACCTGAAGGTTCATATCGTTAATGGGAAATAGAAATGATAAATTGTTTATTTTTAAACAGAAAGAAAAACTATATTGTTTGTACATTTTAAAAACTAGAAATTGGAAAATAGGAGAAGAAAAGTAATATGGCTAAAATTGGAAATAATGGAAATATAATGTAAAATGAATTATGTCTTTTGGTGGAAATGTTAAAGGGGGAATTCAGACAACACACTGTTCACAAAAGAATTTTTATTATGTAATAAAAATAAATAATTTAATTTAATTTAAAAAGAGTTGGAAGGGACCATGGAGGTCTTCTAGTCCAACCCTCTGTTCACCACCCAGCCTATGAATGGCAGGATGCCAGCGAGGTGGCACGCCGAAGACGGCAGATCTGACACATTATTAAATATATTTTAAAAATCCTTATTAAAAATATACCTTACCTGGCACGAGTGAGTGGATATTAACAATGATGGAGCCATCTTAAAATGTCACCAATCCACTAGGGCAGTGGTCTCCAACCTTGGCAACTTTCCACTAGGGCAGTGGTCTCCAATCTTGGCAACTCCAACCTTGGCACTAGGGCAGTGGTCTCCAACCTTGCCAACTTTAAGACCTGGGGACTTCAACTTCCAGAGTTGAAGTCCCCAGGTCTTAAAGTTGGCAAGGTTGGAGACCACTGCACTAGGACACATACATACACACACAAACACACACACCTATTGACATAGTCCAGTCTCATGCTGGCTGGAGAATTCTGGGAGTCAAATTCCACACACCTTAAAATTACTGAGTTGGAGAAACCTTGTTCTACTCCATTAGGATGTTAAGCAGATCAATTCCATCCCCATTTTTTTTCTCCCCAAATAACCTCCACAGCCTTGCTAGTAACCGTCAAATCTACTGGAACTCAGTGAGAAGCAACTCCTGGCTGGCACACTCTTGATTTCACAGGTTTCATTCAATCTTGCAAAAAGCACAGCGGAAGGCATGAAAGCAGGCAGTCTCTGAAGACTTCGGCTTCTGATCTTACACTCATAAAACTGTTACACCTAACCTCAAACCCTTTGAACAGCAGCGGGCTTGGCCTTGCTTAATGACAGTTTATTTTTTTATCAACGTTAACAGAAGCCTCTCTGCAGTCACTATCAGAAATGCAGCTTTTCAGCTCCGCTGGCTGATATTGGATGACAGCCAAGACATGACTTTCAGCCTAGAACTTGGGGAGATCTTTTTATCAGGCGGAGATCAAAATAATATCCACACTTTGCAAGTCCATTTGGCTGGTCTGTCTCAGGTGTAAGCTTGAGGGCGAAAACACTGCCTTCCACAGCTTGGCCATGGATTGATTCTCTGGGCCTGGATTGAGAACAAGTGGATCCCAGCCCTGAAACCTGCCTGTCCTTTGTCTAGTACAGGCAGAAGGCTATGCCACCACATATTATTGTGGAGGAGCTTACATTTTTTAGTTTCCAAACGTACCCCAAATTAATTTGGGTTCAGCTTATTCAAGGATGCACTTCCAGAATGCGGCCGCGCGAGTGATTGTGGGTGCACCTCGGTTCGCCCACATAACACCTATCCTCCGCGAGCTGCGCTG